CTGATAGGCTTGCAGCCATGCAAATCCTCTTTGAAGTGTGCCCTTGTTTTAAGTTTGGATTTATGGCAGCAAATGGTGCAATTATAGAGGCATTTAGAGATGAAAAGAGAGTACATATAATAGATTTTGACATAAATCAAGGTAGTCAATATATTACACTGATTCAAACAATTGCTAAGTGGCCTGGTAAGCCACCTCATTTGAGGCTAACTGGGGTTGACGACCCTGAGTCAGTTCAACGTCTTAATGGAGGTCTTGAAATTGTTGGACTAAGACTTGAGAAGCTAGCGGAAGTACTTGGTGTACCGTTTGAGTTTCAAGCCGTTGCCTCAAGGACTTCACTTGTTACTCCATCGATGCTGGATTGCCAGCCAGGAGAAGCACTTATAGTAAACTTTGCATTTCAACTCCACCACATGCCTGATGAGAGTGTTTCAACAATAAATCAGCGAGATCAGCTTCTTCGAATGGTTAAGAGCTTGAATCCGAAACTGGTTACTGTTGTTGAGCAAGACGTGAACACAAACACATCACCTTTTTTCCCAAGGTTTATTGAAGCCTATAGTTACTACTCTGCTGTCTTCGAGTCTCTGGACGCGACACTTCCAAGGGAGAGTCAGGACAGGATGAATGTTGAAAGGCAGTGCCTGGCACGGGACATAGTCAACATTGTTGCGTGTGAAGGAGAGGAAAGAATAGAGCGATACGAGGTTGCAGGAAAGTGGAGGGCAAGGATGATGATGGCTGGCTTCAATTCTTGTCCAATGAGTCCAAATGTGATTGATATGATCCGGCAGCTTATCAGGGAGTACTGTGACAGGTACAAGCTGAAGGAGGATTTAGGCGCCCTTCATTTTGGATGGGAAGACAAAAGCTTGATTGTTGCTTCAGCATGGAAGTAGAATTATCAAGCCAATGTTACTTTTTCCTGTTTCTGGCTTGAGTTCAGTTCTGTATGGTCATTGTAACTATAATTTTGTGTGGGATCCTGATGCACACTAATGTATTATGGGAAGAAACCTTTTATTATTGTGTTGATGTAAAATCTAAGGGATGAGTAGGGATTTGCTAATTATCTAACATTTTCTTGAATAATGTGTGTCCGTTGCTTTACATATTTGAAATATTAGAATGTTAATCAGCCAAAAGAATAATATATAATATTATTGGATAAAGTGTGCTATGGTAAATGCTTATATGGAGAATTTTTTTATAATGGATGAAAATATTTATTAATATTTTGAATTCAAATTCAAATAAGAGGTTAATTCTTTATATTTTGATATTTGAAAATGTCTAAATTAAAATTTTAGATTGAAGACATTTTTTCTTTGTACGACATTATTTTTCTCAATTTAGTACTAAAAAATAAAAAATTATAATTAAATACTTGAGAATATAATGTAACTCTCAAAAATAAATTTTTCAAAAATCTATTTTTAAAAATATAATTATATTCTTAAAAATTTATTTTTCGAGAATCTAATATAATTTTTTCTATCGTTAAATTTAGAAGAAAAATTAAGGTTGAGTGTATAAACTATTAAGAGTATTTTGATCATTTAGTAAAGATTAAAAGTAATATTTGCTGTATGGATATTTTTAAAAGAAAATTTAAAGTATGTATAAAGAAGATTTTGTAATGGATATAAAAACCCCATTGAAATAGAGTGAGCCTTGGGCTGAAACGGGTTTTTTAATGAAGAGCCGTTTAAGGAACAAAAACGGTGCGTTTTAGCTCTTCAAACGTACCTTGCAAAGTCTGGAATAAATGGAAGCGCAGAGAAGGTACGAGAGAAAGAAGCGGCAAGGGAAAAATGTCGAAAACGCTGGTGCAGCCTATAGGGCAAAAGCGGCTGACGAACGTCGCTATCGTGCGTTTGAAGAAACACGGGTTACGATTCGAAATCGCTTGCTACAAAAACAAAGTCCTCTCCTGGCGTTCCCGTGTGTAAGTTTAACAACTTCTACATAAAAGTTTCTAATTTTCTTAATATTTTTCCTGAAATTGATTCAAATTTATCAAAAATTAAACTTTTCTTTATTGCAACAGAGAAAAAGATTTGGACGAAGTGTTACAATCCCACACAGTTTACTCAAATGTTTCGAAAGGAGTACTTGCGAAGACCAAAGATATGGTTGCTGCTTTTGGGACTGATGATCAAACTAAAATTTGTTTAGAGGTAATTCTAATTTCAATTCTTTTAAAAATTAATATTGGTTTATTTTCTGGTTGTTGATTGGAGGGTTTTTTTTTTTTTATTGGTTGGTAGATTTTGGAGAAAGGGGAGCTGCAAATTGCAGGGAAGGAAAGGGAATCTCAATTTTCAAGTCAGTTTCGGGATATCGCCACGATTGTTATGCAAAAGACTATCAATCCTGAAACTCAACGCCCTTATACTATTAGTATGATTGAGAGACTAATGCACGAAATTCATTTCGCTGTTGATCCCCATAGTAGCTCCAAGAAGCAGGTCCTTTTTTAAAAAAGTTTTTATCTCTGCATTTTGCGAAAAAAAAATGATGAATCTTTTGCAATTTAATGCAATTTCATGTCAAACTGAGAAATGCTTGTTTAGTTTATTGTAACTTCTTTTTCGTTGATGGCAAATGTTCTAAAATTTCGTCCATATTTAGATGAGTTAAGTTATGGCTGATTTGTAATTGGTCATTTGCATTAGTATTCTTTTGTTGAAATTTGTGTATGCTGGCTTTGCATCGTCTTCGTGGCCTAATGGTTTATATTTTGCAGGCACTAGAGGTTATTCGTGAGCTTCAAAAGAGCTTCCCCGATAAAACGGTCTCCCATGAGATTACGACTAACCGTCCCTGAACAAAATTTTCATACACTGTGTGAGAAGCTGAATGAATGGACTGCTATTATTGTTTCAAAAGATGAATCTGGAAATCAACTATCAGTTGTAAGTCCTGAGTACCTGCTGTATCCTCTATTGCCCTGAGGACAAGCGTTTGACTCTTTATTTAGTAATTTTTTTCTGATAACTGTGATTTTAATAGTCTACTGTAACTTTAGCATTAATTGCTGAAATATTAAAGCATTTGTCTGCTTGCTTCACATGGGTAGTTCTTCAATCATTACTATGTGCAAGTTATGTGAATGTGATGAATATAATCATCAATTTTTTCAGACTGCCAGCATGATTCACTAGGAAGTTGGAATTGAAATTGGAATTTAGGAACAATTCTTTGAGGATACTTGAATGGTGTTGCTATTTTTGTCTATTTTGTTTTTGTTGAATGTAATAACTACTGTGTGGAGCAAAACAATGGGAAGATGTATATTCATACATAAGCATAAACCTTGTCAAGTAGGTAGAAACCTGTATCCAGAAGAGAATTTTAGTTCTCATGAATATACTATTTTAATTGTCTCATGTTTTCTTCCACTATTAACTTCCCTTATTCCACTGGGCATAAACATAAAACTCATCCACAACTCCTATTTACTGACACATAAATGTAGATGTGTGCTTAATTGCATCGGTTTCTTTTTGCACAAGTTTAATTGAGAAAGTTGTGGAATCGTTATGAGCTACATATCTCAGTGATTTTATGATTAGCATCCTGTACCTTTACCTGTCAACCACTTCTGTGTTTGTCATTGCATTTTACTTTTGGAATTAAATTAGCTTTGCTAAGTTACCAAGCTATACAATTGGTGATTGATATCTCTTTAAGTGCGCTCTTTACCTTTTATCTTATCTTTTTCTTCTTTTAGTGCTTAAGCATCCTGTTTGATTGTTTTTCAGATTTGTGAGATGGAACCAGGAAATTTTCGTGAGTGTGATTCCCTTGTGAGAAATTTACTGGGTAGATTGGAAATGCTTGCAGTGTCTGTGCAGGCTGAGGGAGATTCCCAGGTCCATGATTATGATGATGAGGACATATCATCACATCCACCCAAGGAATCTGCTGATTTGGCACCACCACGTTTACCCCAGGAATCTACTGATTCAGTGCTTCAACTAGGTGAGAAAATGCGAAAACAGACCATCTCTTCAGGAAATGGGAATGCTGTGGGGGAGGTAAAGCAACAAAAGTGCAGCACATGCAATGCATTTGTGGGGGATTCCAAACAGTATAGGGATCACTTTAAGAGCGAGTGGCACAAACATAATTTAAAACGCAAAACCAGACAACTTCCTCCTCTTACCGCAGAAGAATGCTTAGCTGATATGGAAATTACCGACTCCAAGTCAGATTTGCAGGATTATTCATTTTGACTTGTGGCTAAGACTTATGTTGGCGCATATACGATTTCATTTTTACATTCTTTAGCTGTTTCAATCAGTTGGACAGGAAATCAGTTGTGATACAATGTCCTTCCTATTAAGCAAGTTTACCGGTCATGAATTTGTTCAAAAAATGAGCTCTGTTTATCTCGTAGGAACATTGATCCTTATGCTTTGTTTGGTCTTCAGATTGCTCAACAAGAACATAAAAAAACTAAGCATGAAAGAGTCCCAAAAACCTTTAAAATTTGCAAAATCTCAAATTTGCCGTTGAAACATCCTTTCTTTCCTTCAAGGCTCTTGTTGAGCATCCAGAAAATTGTTCTTTGTTTTTTTATTTATTTTTATTATGAAAAAGGGATTTTTTTTTATAACAATTATTAAAACTCATGAGCGAATAATTTAATTTAATTGATTTATATAATTATTATTAAAAGAATGATATCTAATAAATTTTAGATTTACATATCAGCACTTACTATTTTCTCTTGCAGCTTCCTTGATAAAAAAAAAATTATTAAAAGTCATTCATTTAACAAATTATTAGTTTATTCAATTTCCTAAGAAAAATAAGTTATAAATTCACTTAATTTTGTATATGAAATTAGTTGGACATTCTCAGAGGTAAGAGCCCGTTGAAAAGCCCACAGTTGAGCTAAAGGGCCTAAGGCCAACCAATGAATGTAGGGCCTACGTTTGTGGATGAGACGTTTGTGGTGAACCAATGCAGGTCCTCCATAGTCTCGCCACTGCCTCCTGATTTTCCTTTTCTCAAGGTAAAACTCACTAAAATATCAAATGTTATCCACATGAGTTTGTGCTCTTTCCAGCACCTCAAAAAAACCAAAAAAAAAAATTTTCAAAAGAATATCCAGTTCCAAATTATAATCATCAGAAAGCAAGAGGACAGAAATTTCAAAACAGGCCCCAAGAAGCAAAAATCACTCCTGCAAGGCCATATCTTTTAACACCATCATATTCCTTCCAAGACTCTCAGGGGAAGAGCTAGAGATGGCTCTGGAAAACTGTTTTCAATTGAGCTCAGTTTGCACCACTAGAACTAGTGTGCTGCAAAGCTACCATCATTTTTCCTCTGTTGAGAAGGTTCATTTGCCGATATTGAGCGGGTTGAAAAAACCCAATTTATCATTCACTTCATCTTCCTCATCTTTTCCTCATTCATTCGCCGGCAGATGCCAAAAATCCAGGCTCATCTGCAAAGCTCGTGAAGCTGTTGATACAGGTACGCAGCTATTTCTTTTAATTACTCTTGTTTTTATTAGTGTCTTTATTGGTATGCACGGTCCTGTTTTAGTCTATTTAAAGAAGGTCAGCAGACAGTTTCTATGGTAGGTTGTTGGTAATGTCCCAGGAAAAAAAAAAACCCTGCTTGAAATTAAAGAGTAGGCATCAGAGATTTAGATTGAAAAAGTCGAAATGATTGCCTACTATGAAGAGTAGTTAAGTAATTTGGTTATTGTATTAATGAAATGAGTCTCATCATTACTTGAAATTGTGAATATAAGAACCGATAATTTTAGACCTAACACTAAAATGATATTAAAATATATATATAAAAGCCACTCAATTTAAAATTGATAAAAATTATATGAGTATGGTAAAATTTAAAAATGAATTTCATATTTGTGAGTTTAAAAATTTTAAAAATATATTTTATATTTGATGTGTCAATATAAATTATAATATAATAATTTTTATATTTTGATATGTTTTATATAAAATAAATATGATGTGAATAAAGAAATTGTCAAACCTATTTAAAGAGGAGGGATTAAGGGAAATAGGGGCAATACTCTCGTTACTTAGCCTACCCCTGGAAACCCCCCAATCCAAAAAACAAAAATCTGGTCCCGTTTCTTTAATTGTCAACCATCCTACATCATTTAGCAATGGGATTAGCAGGCATCTCATGGTTAAATTCAGATGATTAAAGATTAATTAGTTCATGTATTCGCTCCCAAAAGGAGCATAATTTTGGCATGAAGATACTTTGAAGTAATGAATTAAATATTGCTAGAATCAGATTCATATTCTGCACTCTGCAGTTGACGAGGTGACAGAAGCAAACTGGGCTAAGCTTGTGGTTAGCAGTGAAACTCCAGTTTTAGTGGAGTTTTGGGCACCATGGTGTGGACCCTGTCGCATGATCGAGCCAGTTATCGCCGAGTTAGCGAAAGAATATGCTGGAAAGATTGCTTGTTACAAACTCAACACTGATGACAGCCCAAACATTGCCACGGAGTTCGGGATTAGGAGCATCCCAACAATGCTGTTTTTCAAAGATGGAGAGAAGAAAGAGAGCGTCATCGGTGCAGTGCCCAAGTCTACCTTGGCTGCTACCATTGACAAATATGTTGACAGCTGAACCTGAATTCCAAACACATCAGAAGTTTGTTGTAAAATGCAAGAGCCACATGGTCCGTTCATGCCATGCCAGTTTTTATATATCATTCATTCAAAATGGCACATCTATGAACATTTTCTTCGTCTAATATGTTGTAAATATAATTAGTACTATTCTGTAACAAAAATCCTTTTACTTTGTCATCCTCGATGCTCTTTAATTAACCTTTATTTTAAACAATAATAGCTTTCTTTTGCTAGATATTAAAACATATTCTTTAACAATTATCGAATAATTTAATTAACTTTTGGATTTAGCATTTTTCTTTGAAAGTGTCCATTTTTGCACTTGAGTTTTTGGATTGAGTTGATGCAATAATTATTTAAGTGAGTGTGCTATAAAATATTGTTTGTATTAGAGGTCTGATAGTTTATCCTCACGGTTTATCTTTCAAAAAGAAGAACACCTCCATAGTAAAAAAAAAAAAAAAAAGGACTTTACTTGTAAGTCACAATCTAATTAAAACTATTAGTATCAACTGTGTTAGAGATTTCCTTCTCAACATATTGTAATAGTAAAATGTATCTATCTTTATTATAAAAATAAAGAAGTTTAAGCTCGATTGAAGTTACAATGAGTAGAGTATAAAAAAGTTGATGTTTCTTTGTTGGAGATTAAAGAAGCAACAAAAAAGAAACATCACATACATTTATTATGAGGGATAATGTTACTCTTTAAGACTCTTATGATATAATTTCAATTTTGTTTATAAACGGTGTGATTTGTTAGTAAAATATTTAATTTTTAATTTTAATAATTATTAATGTTTAATTCTAGATAATTTCAATTATTAAAAAAAAATTTAGTAAAAAAAATATAAAAAAAAAAACATAATCTCAATTTTGATCAAAGTGATAAAATCTCTACCAATCAGGGCATAGAATCCATCTCATTGCAAGACTTAGTGTGTTTTAGTGGTCAAATTGCCAAGAATTAGAGGTCATAATGGTTTATATCAAATTGGATTATATTTGATTTTTTAAATAATGTATAATATTATAAATTTTTAAAATTCGATTTAAAATTAAATATATATATTTTTTAAACATATCAAATTCGAATTGAATTCATATCGAATTCTATTGATTCAATTTGATTCGTTATCGATTTTTAAATTTTAAATTTTTTAATTTTTTATATATTATTTTAATAAAATTTTTAATAAATTTAAATAGATTTATATATAAAATAATTATTTTTATTTTATAAAAATTTAAAATATATATATAAATTAATTAAAAATATATATTTCAATTCAGTTTATTTTTTTTTATTTTTTATATTTTGATCTAAAATTTAGTCCAAACTTAATATATATATTGAATATCTAAATTTAATTTGAATCAAATAAAAAAATCGATTTGAATTAAATTAAATATTATAATGTTAAATTAATTTTAAATTTTGTCTTTAAAAAAACTCGTTATAAGAGTTGTGTTCAAGCGTGTCCATGCATACCAAACTTTCCTTAATTACAAGCTTCCACGTGTAGGAGAAGACCCGACATCGATGGTCCCAACTCCTAGTCAAGAAATCAACTACTAAAAAATGTTAAAGACCACACCAATTAGCGTATAAAAACAGCAAAGCAGATGGATTGACGAATCTCACGGAGGAAAAGGCATATATCAAACTCAATTTTGTAAGAACTCAATCATATATATCCTAAGCGTATGCACAGGGAACCGACACATGATTTCCAATAATAAATCATTGGAGATTATTATACGCTTGAAAGCAATTTGGAATCAGCAAACAACCAGCCACTCTCCCTCCTGATGTTTTGAGAGTTGCGGTGATTGAGGATCATTATCGAACACATTTATCTCCCGACAATTCCATTGAGGCGCCAGTGGCAAGTGGTGTGCGTTAACAGTTAATAATCAGGGTAAACAAGTTAGTAGAAATTTGGCGCAACTTAAAGATGCTTTTAACATTTCATTCATAAAACTCAATGCTCTATGTTTCATTTTTCTGAAATTAGTACAAAGTGGGAGGAAAGCCCTTGTTCTGTAATATACTGTTGTAGCGTGAATCTGCCAGGGCCACAGGCAGTTCATTCTGCCTATTCTCATGCCGCGAAAATAGCATCTATAATCGAACCATCGGCTTTCGGACATCGTTTCATGGGGAAGGTTTCCAATCAAATTGAAAATTATTAAAACCATTAACTGCTCCTAGCCCATTTAGTAGCTGGTTCCCCAAATCCTGTTGTTGGTGACTCGTACCTTGATCCCGTGCCATTGATGTCATTCCAACCCTTCCATTCATGACAGGGTTATTACTCATAGCAGCTCTGATTCCATTGACTAAAGCAGACTGGCTAAACCCACCACCCATTGAACCAAACCCACCACCACCACCAACACCGATACCTGAATTATTGACAGTTCCATTCCCAACCAAACCGTTGCCACCGTTGAGAACTGAATTGTTACTCGTTGGCAACATTCCATTTACACTCTTCACATCATTGCCTAGAGTGGCAACTCCGCCCATGCCATTAAGTTGGACAGACATTATTTCATGAATAATTTTCCCAACAGAGCTTTGTGATTCAGTTGGGTCAGCCTTACCAGAAAGAGCTGGCTGATGCATGGGCACATTAACTGGGGAATTTGCAGAACTCATGTGACTAGAAGCTGCTAAGGGACCATGAGGAGGATTATTAGATGAGGAGGGTGTTGGTGACTGAAATGGAGATGGATTTGCTTGCGCTTGCACTTGCAGTATTGTACTAGAGGAACCAGGGGAAGGAATCTGAACAGAATTTCCACCATAGGGACCGTTTGCATTATTCATAGAATTCTGCTGCCTGGAGTTCATGGAATTCTGATGCATAAGCCCAACATTGGCGGCAGTAGATGTTGACGCAGATGCTGCATTAAGAGAGTTATTTACATTAGCCACACCATTGTTAGCGGCAAGCTGCATCCCTGAAGCCTGGGCAGAACTTTGATCACTATTAGAGCTCTGGGCAATGGTTTGCTGTTGTGGTGTCCGCTGCTGCTGATACTGTTGCTGTTGTAGCTGTTCCTCAGGCTGTTGAGCTTGAGCATGAAAACCAGATGAAGTACTTGATCTTCGAGGGAACTTAGCCAAACTCTCTTTGAGGAAAAAAAAAAAAAAAAGAGATGAAAAACCTACTCAGATATTATTGAGCCCAATATGAGAACAAATGAATCTGAAGCTACACAAGTATAAGTTCTTATTTCTGTCTGCACAGTAATCATTATTTTGCAATCATAGGGGAAATAAAGAAAACCTCAATCACTACGTGGAAGCAGAGTAGTTTGCATCAGATGGAGCAAGTTTTTTACAAACTTAAGTACATATTGAGCAAGAGAAGCTTCTAATGAGAATGATATTCTAAAGCAGAATTAGAGCTTTATAAGAGGTATGGAGAGCGCGTGTGATGATAATAGTAGTCAACCAATTCCTTTATACGGTATATGCCAGAAGCAAAATGCTTTGAGTCCCTACAGTGATACAAAATCAGCTTTCCTTTGAAAGACCAAAACCACGTGCTTCAGGAACAGTCATTTCTGTATTAGCCAAAATTACCACAATAACACTAGACATTCAAACACCAAATTGTTTACCTAAGTACCTATTTAGACTAAAGATAAAAATAAAGACATAACTGTAGGGGACCTAAACAAACCACACATGATCGAACTTTACTATGTTTGTCTAATTAACAAATCTTGAAATATTATTCGTGATCGTTGTTAAACTGAATAAACAAACAAAAACCGAGCTTATTCATGAACTGTTCGTCGAACACTCTGTTCATGTATACCCTGGATGTATTGGACTTGGGTTTCCTTTTTTGTGAAAATGGCCCAAAGGCCACATAAAATATAAGGACTTTTTTAGTCTTTTCTCACACGGTTGATATTTAAAGGGTTTTAACTCATTTATTTGCTTTGAGGGAGTCAGGTAGGTTAAAAAAAAAAAGAGAAATCAGAAAAGAAAAGGAAGAAAATAAAGTTTTGCACAGCCTCGATCAAGAGACTAAATCTAGGTCGATTTGTGGTCCAATATACCTAAAATTTTATTGTGTTCACGACTCACAACTCTACATTTTGAATGGTTGAGATTGGATTTAGAGCTCCCAACCAAAAGATTTTGTGAGTATTTGTTAAACCATCAATTTGGTGAGATTTTTCCAATTTTTCTTATAATTTTTTTGCCAAGATTATTTAATCTTGAGCTATTATGGTTGATAGTTTAACAAACACCCACGAAATCCATAAGTAGGGAGCTCCAAATCTGATCTCCACTGTTCAAAATGTAGAGCTGTGAGTCGTAAACTGATAAAATTTGAGCTCAATTGAACTACAAATTGACCTCGATCCAGCTCTTTATCAAAACCGTACAAAACCCATTTTCTTCCATTTCTTTCCTTTTTGGTTTCCTTTCTTCCTTTTTGTCACCTATCCAACTGCCTCAAAACAAATAAATAAGGGTTAAAACCCTTTAAATATCAACCATGAGAAAAATAAAATAAAATAAAACAAAACATCCTCATATTTTAGGAGAGCTTTGGGCATCTCCACAAAGGAGGAAACCCAAGCCCAATAAGGTGTAAACAAACTGAATATGAATGAATTTTATTATGTTTGTGATTTGATCGTTTAATTAACAAACCCTGAAATATTGTTAGTGATCATTTATTATGTTTAATAAACAAACATAAACAAACAGAAATCAAGCATGTTCACAAACTGTTCGTCAAATGTTTTGTTCATTTACACCCTTACTTAACTACCTCTCACTTAATACATTCATATTCTGTCCAAATTTTTGACCCAGTGTCCCCGCAAAGATTGATCATCTTTCTTTATTCTTTATCTAGTATTTTGCATTACAACTATCCTAGGCTTCACCATGACATGAACATCTTTCATCTTGCTCTCTAAATCCTCCTTATACTCATATTAGTACAAAGTCATTAGTGAAACCATAGATTGATTCTACTGGTGAGTTTTCAATTTCCTTCAACTGCTTGTGACCTCTAGCAAGCACAATTAAGCATCATCTGACATAAATAGGAAGCATTATAAAGATGCCAAGCAATGCCTATATGATCTCACATTCCCTACTTTTAGTAAAAAACACGAGAAAAGCAACAAAAAGATCCCACAGAGACAAAGGGCTTTAATGAATGACAGCTACAAGAAGACAGGTTAATTAAAGGGTAATATTCTAACAAATCTATAAAAGAAACATAATTATGCACACTATTTGCAAAAAGCACAGGGTGAAATATGAACAAATCAGTAGTTATATCCTAAAATACACTATTTTCAACCGCATAGCTAAACAAACACATTGGGCTGCTAATAGCTAGAAAGAAAGAACCCTTAACTATCCAAACTTAAAAAATCAGAACAATATCGAATGATCACAAGCTATCAAAAGCCTATAACATCTATGGCTGTCAACCAGCTTATAAAACTCCATTGGAAATTAGTTTACAGGTAAACCAATACAAAATAGAGGGTACTAGAAACTGTAAAGAGCTACTGTGGGATGCCTGGATCAGTACTTTCAAGCATTTAAAAATATATTTTTAAAAAAATCCGATGAGAAAATAAAATAAAATAAATTTAGCAAGGGAAATCTTATCGAAACTTACCCATGGGTCCAGTCTTCGTTTCTCTACTGTAATCAATCAAGTCTTTCATGCTATTAACCACTTCAGATATCTGTTACAAACCCCAATATAAACAGAAACATTGCATTAGGAGGCTGTATATATTTTGATAGCATACTTCTTCAAAAAGGACATACAACCATAAAACTCATCTTCCCATTTTAGTTTTTTTCCTTTGTCATACCATGATAACAAACATTTTATTCACTATGGTACATCATAATAGTATAGTATTACACTTAGTCTTCATAAAGTGCAACTGCTAGAACACTTTGATGATGCAAGTATATTCAAGATGGATCCACAAAAACTTCAGAAGGTTGTGGAAATTAGTAATTTGTAGTGGGAAAACCTGCCAAGTAACATGAAAGGATTTAAAGGATATCAATTTGCCTTAGAAACCAAAGGAAGTTTTGGGAAAAAGGTAGAGCATGGTCTTTGAACGGCTAGAATCAATAAAAACAACTAAGGGCAATTTCAGAGTCCACAGAAATAACACAAGAAACTATCAAAGCTTAGTTGACGCTGGGTGTTCTCCGTGATCCTGTTTTCCCCCATAGAACTAGAAACATTTGCTGGCACAGTTATCAATAAAATCTCTGTACAGATTTTTTTCAGCCTTTATCTAGCAGCATTAGGGAGAAAGACACCATTACATGATTGCACAAATTTTCTCATCAACAAAAAATAGCAGAAAAAAACACGTCCCAATACAGAGTTTAAATTAGAAATGTGAACAAGGAAACAAAAAGCAGATTAATACTAAATATTAACAAAGTAGAGGCAAATATCTTGCAAAAAAATCCAAAATATAAGAAAACATCTCTCCAATATCCAAATTTATTGTAAGAAGATGCAAGAAATTACCTGAAGACACCGTACATATCTCTTTGTATAACCCAAATCATTTACCAATGGCACTTCTAAGGCTTTTGCCAATTGCCGAGCTGATGCTACAAACCTAAACTTTATTAATAGCGAATTAGAAATCCGTGAAAGCAGCAGAGGTCACACGTATAGATATTATTATTTAAATTAAAAAAGATAGACGCATATGGTGCAAGTTGATTTTATACGCACATTGCCCAGGTGAGTGTGCGTGCCTATGTGCGACCAAGATTCCTAGCCAGAATCTATCAAAATGGAGCACCTAACATAATTGTAAAGAGACTAAAGTACAAACCTTAGGACTATGAAACAGAGAATAATTATGTCAAGCAAAGCCAAGATTAATCTCAAAGAAAATATGGAATTATGGCCTTTATTGGAGTTGGACTGATTTAGGGCCTTATTCAAGCTAAAATTAATATTAGTAATTCAAATTTTTATGATCTTTAACACAGAAGGTGGTGGTTGCTTTCATTCTACATCATGTTTTCTTGATTGCAAGAATCATTATTCAAGTAGTTTTCAGGTTTGCTAGAGGTTGGAGATTTTGAATTTAAGAGCCTTATTTTAGGTTCTTTTATTATTTGATTTTATTTTCAGTTAAGAATTGTTTAAGTCAAGTTTGGTAATGCCCGGAAGGAGACTACTGGAACTCTAAAGTTTTGTTCGTAACTTATTTCAATTAATAAAAGGACAAGGGCGCAAGATTTTCACCAGCTTTTATCTTTCTTTTGGGTTGTATGAAGCAGAACAAACATTGTTACACTGTATATAAAGCCTTTAAAACAGTTAGTGTGTGAAGCCTCAGGAAATGTATGCATGACACATAGATCTTTTATATTCTTTTTCTCAGTCTTTACTTTCCAGCAGAATTTCAGATTTACAACCAGCCTTCTGTTGGAACCCAAGACAGCGCTTATAGGCAGACACAATCAATTCAACAACAAAACAAAACAATTTCCCACCCTAACCCTAATTTACTATTCAAGAAAATTTTACACAGCTGAGAGTTAGCAGACGGGTGTTTTCCTTTTGCTTAAGTTTCATCCATTACCAGCTAAATCATTTCCACCTTGATCCAAAAATCATCTAGAAGGATTACTTGCTCTCATCAAATTAAATCCTATAATCATATATTCTTGTTCACCAGATAACCAACATTTTTTATGTGAAGTAATTCTCTAATCCTCATCAAGCTATGCCCTCAAGAGCAACGTTGTTTCAGCCTATTAAGTGTTTGGACCAGTAGCATGCATCCCTTGGATACCATGAAAGACATGTATACAAGCAATAACATCTAGTCATTACTATAATATTCTCAATTATTAAAAAAAAAAAAAAACAAAATACACAGACACACAGGCCAATATTCCTCTATGCCACCTTCAGTGCAGATCATATAATTAAGAACACCAAAAGTATGTCCTCAAGGAAGAGTGACTGTCAATCAACCTCACAAGTTGTTACTCAAGCAGGAACAAAACATGTTTCACTTTTCTGCAAATAATTTCAAAGCTTCAAACATGTTTACTTTTAAATAATAGAGATGATGTGTATTAAACATAACTAATGAAACTGAAAAAAAGAGAAAAACTGCTTTACCCAAAAGAAAAAGTTTCCACACTAACATAATTGGCAACATCAACACAAAAGTTGTATGTGACAGACACAGCACATATAACTATGTCATGAGCAAGAGGAACACAAATGGCATGCACACTCTAGAGTAGGAAAAAGGAAGAAGGGAGAGAGATCAACCCAACCACCAAATAAAAAGGAAAGAATGGTCCGTTCAATCAGAAAAAGGCACAATAATAGAGGACATACAAGTTACAGTTATTCTGCAAGTCTGGAGCAGATAAATTTGTTGATGCATTTTGAGTTGCTGCTTGATACTTTTGAGCTGCGGTCCCAAGCTGACTAACCTGTACAACCCAAATTACTACCGTAAATGTGACTAATACCAAACAAACAGCAACATACTCTTACAATCCAAAGAATACAAATTAACAACCAGTAAAGATTCTATAAATGATAAAAAGGATTTACTCCTAATTTTAGGGAAAATAAGAAGATAAAGATGAAATCCAGAATGGTTATTCATATGATAGTTCAACATTGCCAGAATGGTGCAAAAGGAAATTTCAAGCATAAAATAGAAAGGTATGCCAACCTCTAGAAATGATAATCTTAAGCAGCATAAAAAGAATAAGACAAGTACATGGATCTCCTATTCTTCATCATATCCTAAGATGGAAATTATAGTTCCTACAGCAAATGTAAGCATAAAATACCGCTGAAAGTGATGACATTATAACAGTTTTTTACCACCATAGAGTCATAGACTTGTATTATCTTTGCAGGAATGAAAATGATGAAGTGATTACATACTGCTACAAAGAGTTTCAACTTGAACCACTCAATATAAAAGAAGCAACAGATGTAACAAACAAGGTATACAAGATTGCATATAAACTCAATCAACCAGGCTCCGCAGGTTTCATACAGTTCAGGCATACTCTGCATGCAAGTCATTAGCATATATCTGACATTCTCAATCTATATAGAACTTATTTGATCACAACCTGAGGTATCAACAATCTTCTAGGGATGAGTTCCTCATGACGCCGAGCACAAAATTCCCAAGAACATATCTGATAAAAAGAATGAAAGAGCAAGAAACTAAGTTAATAAGGCCTCAATAAGTTCAAAGTTGCTAAAAAACCATTACTTCAATTTGTAACCTTCAGATCTGGTGAGAAAACTATCCGAAGTTGACCATCACGAACAACACGAAGTTGCTCAAAAACACTTTCTTGTATTGCTTTTGCATAGTCCAGAACAATTTGACCAGATGTGTTCTGATACTCACGGGGCATATCAACGTAAAGAAGTTCTTCCAAAGTACCACTTTCATATTTAATTTTGAAAAGCCTAGGGAGAACCTCAACAGTCGCCTCTACAAGCACAGTAGAAAGATATTAGATATATAGGAGTGATGGACAAATTAGCCACAAGAAACTAATATATACCAATTAAGCCAGAATAAGATGACAATTAAGTTTGTTGACACGCCAAAAAAATAGAACTAATACATATTAGTCACATTAATATAAGATGGCAAACTAGCTGATTGACTGCAACACAAAAGAAAGAGGGACAACAACAAAAAGAGACCAAAAAAAAAAAGGAAGAGGACATACCAAAACCACGTCCTGGCTTGCAATTGCATATTTCACAGTGCCATACATCCTGTAACATTTTTACAACAGTTAAATTATCCTTTGCATTACTAGTTTGCTATTAAAAACAGAAACAAAAAAAATCACACATACAAAGATGCTGATGACATCTGCAGGGCACAAAGACTGAGGAGATATTTCATCTATAAGTATTAATGGGGACCGAGCAAACTAACAAAGACATAAAGTTCTAAAGATAATTGACCTCGTTCAATTACATAAGATGCCAATTGAATGAGCTTCAGAGTCAGAAATCTCAGCAAGTTTTTATCAGAAACAGACCTGAGGAAAAACGCCAGTTGTTTGGCGGCCACTTCCGTACATAGAAACACACCACTTCTTTTTGGCATTTGGAGCAAAGTACTCGGCAACAAATTTTCTCCAAAATTCAATATTGTTGTCCTACATGAAAAACAGGAATGTTACAGCCACAAAACCACTGAATAAATGTGGAAAATAGATCTTCACACCATGGAGATCTTACTTCTGGTCTATGTTGTTGCTGATACATGTAATGTGTCAGACGCCGGGCACACATCCCAGGCTCATACACTGGTTTCGCAGGTGATCTCAAAGGCAAATTCTGCTGATGAAACTGCTGTGGTAATTGAGACCTTTGTTGAGGCATTGCTTTCAAAAGCTGTTGGTGTTGTTGTAGCTGCAAGAGTCTATGTTGATGCAAAAGATTAATTTGGGTAGCAGCAGCTTGTGAGGGCTGCCGTGACATGTGGAGTAACTGCTGCTGCTGCTGCTGATGCAAAAACAATGACTCTGAATGTTGGGGTTCCATTTTTACCTGTGCCAAAGTTCTCATAGGTGGGATTTGTTGTGGTTCCAATTTCACTGCAGCAAGATTTCTTAGTGATTGCAACTGCTGTTGTTGTTGCTGTTGCTGCTGGCCATGAGAATCATTAGTCATTTGTGGCTCCATTTTGACAGCCCCAACACCAGCCAACCCTCCTCTCATAGATTGAAACTGTTGCTGCTGATGCTGCCCTTGTTGGCTGTTGGAAGGGGCAGAGAACTGTTGCATTGCTTGTTGACCATGTTGGAAATGTTGTGACTCGAGTTGTTGGGATTGCTGTTGATCTGGCAAAATATGGTTACCAGAAAGGTTTGAAAATTGCTGACCTTGAACTTGAACAGATGAACCAGGGTTTTCAATGTTTGATGGCACAAATGATGATAAGGGAGCATTAAACCCCATCCCGTTACCTATATTTGAAAGTGAACCAGATTCAGCCCCAGAGTCAATTCCTCCAAGCTGGCTACTCCCAGGACTAGAAAGCTGAGGGTTTCGACCCCCATTTCCAAAAGACTGATTAAGAAGGGAAGATGCATTGGGCACATTCCCAAGCATATTCATATTATTAAACTGAGTGCGAGGCGACATTAATGAAGGGAACCCAGTTGGAGAAGGAAGACCACCCCCTTGGGCTCCGATCATCCCTGAATTTGACCGCAAAAGAGAAGATGTAACCGACTGCGCACCACCTAAAGGAGTAGAAGGCCCCGACGGTACCATGTTTCAAGAATCACTATCTAACACTCACTCACAAAACTGCAACAACTATCTTAAACAACATGAATTCAATGAAATAAACTACAGTTACAAAGAAAACACAGAAACACAGCCCTAGAGCTCAAAGAAATCAGCAGTTTATCTCCAACTTGGCTGCTTTCAGCTTCGTACTCATTGTGCAGTGTGCACAAATAAGAAAAGGCAAGTTCTGTGCCTGAGCATATTGCTTTCTGTTCTACAATACAAGATGCCAAGACCAAAGAAAACCGAAGTCCATGAACGAGCTCTGATTCTGAGCATTCTAAAATTGCATTCTCTCCAAAATTGCTTTAGCATGAATCCCTATATATATATATAAAAAATCAGATCCACAGCAATATATGTCCTTCCAAAATAATTAAACAAACAAACTCTAAAATCCGGATAACCATAAAATCAAACTGCAATCAAATCCTAAAGAAAATCCAAATCTCAAAAATTCATAAACACCATCAAAAACCAACAAAATTTTAGTTAAAGTTCAAAAAAAAAAAAAAGCACCAAAATCAACTTACCAAGCTCAAACTTTTACCCTCCAAAAAACTCAAGAACTGCAATTTAGCTTTATAAAATAAAAAATAATGCTTACTAAAAAAACCAACTAAACCCTTCTCAATGGAGCTCTTAATAGCACAAATCAACAATTCAAAACTTCCAATAAGTAAAACAAGAAAACGATCCAAAACTTTGAATAAGTAAAACAAATAAACAAGAAAATAGCACAAGAGTCAAACTAAAAGACTTACCAAAGTTAAAAATTCAAGAGAAACAAATAAGAAAAAAAAAAAAGAGAGTTAACAAATCTTGAAAGCTTTGATTTTTTTTTTTTAACTCTCTTTCTTTTATTTTTTTATTTCAACAAACTGAAGCGATAAAATATCTTTCTATCTCACTTATCAAAAAAAAAAAAAACTTTTTTTGCTCTTTTGCTTTTTTTTTTTTTTTCAATCAGCTCTTCTCCTTTTCTTAGCTTCCTTTCTTTATTTCATTTATTTTTTTTTCTTGTCTCCATATATGCCCTGTTCTTCCTCGCCGTTTTCTAGAGAGAGAAATCAGAGAGCGAAAGAAATAAATTTTTTAGAGAGAGAAAGGGAAAGTGTATTTGTTAAGTCCTTGCGGACGTCAAAATTGTATTCGATGAGATTGATTTTTTTTTCTTTCAAGAGCTTAGTTGAAATTTCTTAAAATAAAAACTATTGTTATCGATGTGCAAAATTTTAAAATTTTTTTAAATTTTTATTATATTTTATAAATATATATTTTTATTAAAAATTTTAATAAAATCTTTATTATTGAATAAATTTAATAATTTAAATAAATTTAAATTATTAATAATTTTTTAATAATTATTTTATATATTAAAATCAAAGCCTAAACTAACGTACGGTATTTTTTGTAAAATTTATATAATAATGTAATAAACAAAATAATTTTATTATCTAGATAATCTTAATACCCGTATTTTGAAATTATTTTTTATTAACAATCAATAATTTTTAAGAATTAAAAATTATTAAGTTTGGTATTACTAAAAATAAAATATTATTTTGTTTAAAAATTTGAAAATAATAATACATATTATAATAGTTATACAAATTAATAATTTTAAAATTGTTTAAAGATAATAGTTTATAAAATATTAATAACATTTAATTATTTTATAATAAAATATACTTAAATTATTAAATCGATAAATATATTTATCAATAGATAAATTAATTTTTATAATATAAGTTATGTAAAAAAAATATTTGAATTAAAAAATTCAATCTATTAAATTCATAAAACCAATATAATATTAAGTATAATTGGTCACTTAAAAAATCTTATTTTCTTAAAAACTTTAAAATTAATTAAAATTTATTAAAAAAATAATTTTGATTTATAAAAATATATTTGAGTTTCAAAATATAATTACTTGTGAGTAAGAATTAATACTTTCACAATATCCATTTTAAAAATAATACTAATTAATCATATGTTATCTTTTTAAAATAACATATGATTAATTTGGGTTATTAATCCATTTAGAATTTGATTTGATTTTTTTTTTTTTCGTTTTCTCTAATAGCTTAGATGATATTTCTTAAAATAAAAAGTATTATTATCAATGTGCAAAATTTTAAAAAAATTTTAAAAATTTTAATATATTTTTTAAATAAATATTTTATTAAAAATTTAAATAAAATTTTTGTTATTGAATAAGTTTTCTTTTTATTTGATGAAATTTTTTAAAACCATATATTAAAATGTATAATTACATAAATTAGTGCATAAATTTTAAAAAAATTATATATGTTTTTAAATAAATAATAATTATTAAAAATTTTAATAAAATTTTATTTTTAATAATTATAAATAAATTAATATTTTTAATAATTTTTTATTATATATAAAAATCAAACCTAAGGGAATTTAAGAAAAAACATCTATACTAAAAACAAGTTTTTAAAGAAAATAGCTAAATCATTTGAACTAAATTTTAAATTTATGATTTTTTATATATTGTTTTTTCTCATTAAATTCTATTCAAATTTAAATTTTTATTAATAGTTTTATTAAAAAACTTTAATAAAAATTTCAAAAACTTCTTCTCAAAAACTTTATATAAATTTCGTCGGGTCTCTTTCCCTTCTTTACCTTTTTTTTTTTTTAAATCAAATCAAATGCTATTCTTTCTCTTCACTTTTGTTTTTTTATTTTCATGGGATGGATATAATGGCATGTGCTGATGTGCATACATAATCAACTCCATCCATCAATCATGTATGAAGGATGTGGATGATGGGATGTATCAAAGTGATTGATTTTGAGTTCTATTTTACTCTGTTGCCCTTTTTGCGGGTGGCGTAAAGAGTTCCTTGCTTGTGAATGCTTTAGACCAAATTATGCTACGTGATCCTTCTAGCACTTCCCTTTTAATAGTAAAAGTGATCATCTCTTCCAATTTTATTTCATGTACGATATAAAAAAATTCGATTTTTTCATCACAAATTTTTAAATTTACTTCAAATATTAAATAAAATCTTTTATGTTTTAATCTTTTTCTTTCCCTTTTCTTTACCTTTTTTTTTACTAATAATTTCATAATATGAGAATACAAAAATAAATTACAAATATTAGAATTTAAACTCAAATATATTAAATATCATCTCTAAATAAAAATAATTATATAAATTAATTAATTTAAAACTCAAGTCCTCTATTTTCTTTTTTTCCTCTTTAGTTTCTACCAAAAAAAATAAATAAATATATATATATATGATAATCAATTTGGCAACTCAATCGTTAAGGTGTCTTTTGTCATAATTATATTATCCAAAACTTTGATTTAAATGATTTTATTAATATAAATAAGTCATCACCAATTTTTATAATTAAATATGATTAGTCACTTAAAAAAACTTATCTTTTTAACAATCTTAAAATTAATTAAAATTAATCAAAAAATAATTTTTATCTAAAAAAATATATTTAGTTTAAGAATACGATTACATGTGAAAAAAGTTTAATACCCTCATAATGCTCATTTCAAAAATGATATAAATTAATTATATGTTATCTTTTTACCTTAATAAAATGATTTTTAAATTTGTTATTTAAAAATAATTCCTTTTGTTCCTTTTTCAAAAATATTTTTATTTTTTTTACCAATTTTACTTTATTTCATTTTTCAAAAATTTTCTTGAAAAAAAATTATTTTTATTTTTATATGAAAAATGAACAAGAATCTTATTTGTAGAAAAACTCTTCAAATGTTTCAATATGTTAATCACGTTAGAAGAAATTCTCTTACCTATAGATTTTTTAAAAATTACTACTCAAATTTTCTTAAAATCCTATCTTCGGAGGTTCATGTTCATTTTCATAATAATTCATGTAATTTTATTCTTTTTAGAAAAATCTTTATATTTTTTAGTATTAAATTAAATAAAACAACAATAAATGGAAGCCTTTTATATTGAATAATTTTCTAAATAGTTCAATATTTTAGTAATATATTAGAAAAATATCCTCACTTAGAGATTTTTGAAAAATTATTACTAAGACTTCTTTAATATCCCAATCTTAGAGCTCACAGTTACTTTCAACTTTGCTACTAGAAAAGAAGAATAAAAGAAAAAGCTCTGGAATGAACACACAAAAAAACCAATAAGAACATGCATAGAGATTCGAACTTGTAAACACTGTATTTAGTCTAAGCCTGAATTGACTGGACTTAAACGACTTAAGCTTAATCTGATTGAGCCCAAACTAGTTGGGCCTAAATTAATTCAAGCCCAATTACCCATTTCATTTTATATTTTATATTTATTTTATTTTTAAATTTTTTGTTAGGTTTTATCTTTATCCATTTGTATATATCTAATGTTGATTATTCAGTTATTTATTTGTTATTAAATTTTTTATCTAAATTTTATTTATTTATCTTTAATTTTTATTAATTTATCTTTAGTTTTTATATTATCTGATTAGGTGTTTTAAAAAAAAAAGGAAAGATAATTGAAAGAAAAAATCAAAAGGTTAAAGATTAATGAACAGAAACTGATAAAGATCATATTTGGAAAAAAATGAGATAATTGATGTTATTAGAATAGAAACTTAAGGATTTTCTAGACTTTTTGTGTTTTTAGAGTTTTAAAAAAAGGATTTTCTGGACTTTTTGAGTTTTAGGAATTTAAGTTGGTATTTTGAAGAATTCTAGAATATTATAGAGAAGTTTGGAGTTTTGGTGAATTTGTTATATTGTTTTTGGAATTTATTTTTTGCAATTTTCTAGTTTTCGTTGAATTTTTTGGCCACTTCTGAGCAATTTTTTTCAATTTTAGTGATATTTTCTAGAAACCGGTAGGCATTCAATATGTGTTTATCCAGTTTTAAAAATAAAGAGACAGAGAAAAAAAAAAGAAAGAGATAAGAGGAGAAGAAATCTAAAGAAAAAAAATTTTAAAATTTTATACTTAGGTTATACAAAGCCATTTAGAGAACTTTAAGAAGACAAGATCGACGTGTTTTTAAGTGAGTGACCCGCCCTGTGCCTCACTTGACCCGCGTTTCTAAAATTGGTTTTCTGTTGAACCAACTGAGCCATTTAGCCGAGCCTTAAGCCGTTTCACCCAAGCTGTTCTTTTATACTTTGAGCCATCTATTTTAAGCCTCCGAGACAAGTTGCCTTTCTAGTATATTTTGTTATTTATTTATTTAGTTATTTATTTGGTTATTTTTTTGTTTGTTTGTCATCCATATATGTGTTTTTTTATTATTTATTTATTTGTTCTACATTTATTTGTTATCTATTATTTTGTAAATATTTTTAAAAAAAATTAAAAAAAAAAGATAACGTTACCAACATATTGGAGAGTTCAAATTTTTGTAAAAAAATAAAATTTTCAAACAAAAAAAAATCTTATCAACATATTGGAAGGTTCAAGTTTCAAAAATATTTTAATAAAAAATTGAATCTTGCCAATATATTGAAATATTAAGATTTTTAATAAATTATTTTAATAAAATAAAGTCTTACCAACATATTAGAAGGCAATTTGATTTTCAAAATAAGGTTTTACCAATATATTAGAGAACCTTATGAATTTTTTCATAAAAAACAAATTTTAAGAAAAAATTAAAAAATAGTTTTTAATAAAATCTTACCAACATATTGAAAAGCAATTTGATTTTCAAAACAAAGTTTTACCAACATATTGAAGAATTTTATGATTTTTAAATAAAATTAATTTTTTTAAAAAAGTAGTTTTTTCATAAAATCCTATCAACATATTGGAGAATAATCTCTAACAGAAAATTTTATCAACATATTAGAAGATATTTTTAAAAATAAAGAGTTGTTTTATAAAATTAGATTTTAAATCTCTGATAATTAAATTATTAAGGAGCATTGCAAATAGCAATCTCTATGTAAATTCTTAGATGAGAAATCATTTTTAAATTTTACCAATAGATTGAAGGATTTATATAGGAATTTTCGATACCAAGATTCTAAATCTCATTTGATTATCTCCATTTAAAATTTTTTATAAAATATTAATGAATCCAATGCTGGAGTATTTTCAAAGTGTGACAAATAGTTTCTTAAATACTCCTAAGATAAGGAAATGTTCTTAAATTATGACTAACATATTGAAGTAATTTAAGAATAATTTTTAATATTAAATTATTTAGTAAGATTTTTA